CATTTGAAAGTAAGACACAGGGGGCTGGAGAGATGGCTTAGTGGTTAAGAGCACAGGCTGCTCTCGTAAAGGACCCAGGTTCAGTTCCCAGCACCCACTTGGTAGCTAACAACCACCTATAACTCCAATTCCAGGGTATCTGATGCCCTCTTCTGGTCTCCTAGGGCACTGCATGTGATGCATCTACATATATGCAGGCAAAACACACTCATATACATAAAATAAAAATAAATTTAAAAAGAAAAGAAGACACTGAAGAGAAGAAAAAGGAAGTTAAATCCTTCTGAGTCAGGCTCAAAAGAACCTCATGGTGGATCTGGAGCAACCATGCTAGGGGTGGGGATTCTGGGAAGGCTGATATATCAATGAAGCATTATCTCATAAAAAGCAAATTATTCCTCCCATCTCTTCAGCATGGCTTAAAGTTGAGCCAGCCTTACTGAGCAGTGGTCTCTTGGCCAGGTGACTGACGGGCCCAATTGGATTAACTCTTGAGGAGCTGATGGCATGTCTCCATCCAGAGGAGGATCCCACTCTTTTGTCGCATAGGTAATAGTACTTCCATAACAATGTCAGGTGAGGCTACAAAAGGAGACACAGGAGAGGCACAAGGCCCACAATTCCTAAACTCAGGAGGCACAGCACGCCACCCAGGGCCAGGTGAGGTGAACCAAGTTTTGTGGCAGAAGAGTAGGAATAGAGAGAGTGACATCAAGAGTCATATATGAGAGGGCTGGAGAGATGGCTCAGTGGTTAAGAGCACTAGCTGGGACCTGGGTTCAAATCCCAGCACACAAGGTGGCTAACAACTGTCTATAACTCCAATTCCAGGGGCTCTGACGCCCTCTTCTGGACTCTGTGGGCTTTGCATGACACAGATGCACACACATATATACAAAGATAACACTCATACACATAAAATAAAAATACTTTTTAAAAAATTTAAATGATACTATGCTTACAATGAATGGTTTAGGATTGGCTAGTTTGACTGTAAATCATTGTGCTGGCCCCTAGCTGCCTGGTACCTCCCCTGGGATGATAAGGGCAGATACATTACCACCTGGGGTATATAACCCAGACAGAAGAGCTGTGGCTATAATTGGTTCATTTGCCTGTTAAAGGCATGCTCCTGGCTAAATTTTAGCTATTTCTAAGAATTTCCAGGACCAAGAACTAGTCTCTTTCAAGCCAGAAAGAGGTTTTTTTTTCTTTTGTTTTATATTGTTTTGGTTTTGGGGTTTTGGTTTTCTTTTTTTTTAAATACTTTATTATTTTTATTTTATGTGTATGAGTGTATTGCCTGCATGTATGTGAGTGCACCCGTGTCATGCAATGCCGTGGAGGTCAGAAGAGGCTTAGGACTCCCCTGGAACTTGAGTTAAGGGTGGTTCGTAGCCACCAAGTGGGAGTTGGGAATCGAACCCAGGTCCTCTGCAGGAGCAGTCAGTGCTCTTAACTGCTGAGCCATCTCTCCAGCCCATTTTTCTTTTTTTAAAAAAATTATTTATTTAATAACCACATACTTAGAAGAAGCATTTCATTATAACAGCATTGACATATTCAATAACAATTTCCTGAGCTAAGATGCATCTCTTTCAAAATTGGCTGTAAATTTTTAGGTTTACAGTTGAATTATTACAGTTATACAATATTGTACTCAGTATAAACCCTATAAGACATAAAATT